CCCCGGTGCTCTCGGTCCTTTCTCGGGACGAGAGCCACCCACAGTGTAATACCTCCCATCAACAACATCAATAACAACAATATCAAACATCATCAACTATATCATCGCCACCATCCTCCCCCCTTACTCGCCGCTCGCTTAAACCTCTGGTTAATGCTGCATGTTCTTACATATAATTTCCCCCTCCCAACCTTCCTCCCGCCCCCGCGGTTACAATATTGGAAAAAGAATCGTTCACCGGGATTTGAAGCCGGCCAATGTGTTGCTCAGCCGGGACGGACGCTGCAAGATCTCGGACTTCGGCTTGGCACGGTGGGAAGTAGCGGGTGGGCGGTAATGGGGGGTGGGTTCGATTGCCAAGAAGTGAAGAAGCGTGACGGCTTAGGGAGGTTGGGGGGAGGAGAGACGGCTGAGAGGCAGCGGTCTAAGGGGAGGCGACCTGGAGACGCAAAGTATACAGAGGCGCGGAGGCAGGACACGGACACGGCCCCGCTCCTCAACACAGACGCGGAGGCGGATCCGGACGCAGATACACGGAAGCATTTCCGCGCTTCTCTGTCTGTCCGTCCGTAGTTATGTCTGTCTGCAGTTTTGTCAAAATGTCACACCCGTCTCGGTCTCTGTCTCTCAGCCAACGCAGTTTTAAAATGGCGAGCAGGGCTCAGGGTACCTGGACCCTGTGCTACTGACTACATGATGTGTCTACTTGTATATCTACCTTCCTGTTCTTTGTAAGCACCTGTCTGTCTGTCTGTCTGTCTGTCTGTCTGATTGTCTGTTGATTGTTCGTTCGCCCAAATGCAACATACAGAACAAAGATCAAGGAGTATCTGAGCACTAAGAATCTAGACGCGGGCACGACCGCCTATATCGCCCCGGAGTGCTTCGTGTCCATGGACAACCCCGAGCTACACGACTTGAGGCGATCTGTCACGGACAGGACCGACGTGTACGCGCTCGGTAGGTCGCGGCGGTCGGGGGGTTGCCGTGCTGGGGAGGGAAGGGGGGTTGTAGTGTTGGGGAGGGAAGGGGGGTTGTAGTGTTGGGGATAGGTGCAGCGTATGACCACGCATGCGGTCTGCATGCACTGAGGCGCTCTGATGTTGCCGCTGTGTGTTATAACTTGTTTGTGTATGTAATTGTGTGTGCATATGTTTGTCCCCTGCCCTCCTCCTTCCTTCCCCTCCTGCACACCACCCCCGCCCTTCGGCATGTGGCACTCAGTAACATATGCACATACATACATACATATATACATACATACATGCATACATACATACGCCCAGGTCCTGGTAGCGAGCTCTCTGAGATGCTCGGTTCGTTCGGTCGGCAGGAAGAGCCCCCCAGTTGCGACTTCTTTATGTTAGGAGACCAACGGGCATAGATCCCGTCTAGTTGGAGCGCCAAACAAGCGTTGTTGCGTGCCGGCCGTCGTTTCCCGTGCGGCCTGACCCGGGGGCGGAGTGCATGAGACTGACCAGCCGTATGCACCCGCCCCCCGCGCTGTGTTTCGGCCCTGGGCCCCCGGCTTTTCAGCCCACAGTGTAATCAACGTCATACATACATACATACATACATACGTATTGTTACAGAGTGGGGGGCTTCTGGGCCATTTGAACACATCGTCATTTCTACGATTTATCATACCATACCGCACCATCCACCATTACCTCACTGTATTACGCCGTACGAACTGACAGTCCAAGGCGGTTGATCAACCTGCCTTCTAGGATCACTTCTCACCCAGTCACCCGAACATCCGCAGAGACAGGGGTTCAGGAATCGCCATCAATCCAGCGTGCGAATCTCGATCCATCAAATGTGATCTCAACTCCACATCTCAGCAGCTAGCCATATTCTTACGCTCCCGACAGTGTCGGGGGTCTCCCCAGGAATCGAACCAAGTACCTTCAACTGTATATAAGACAATAGTGTCGACCAGGCCAGACCGTGTATACCTACATATGTACACATGGACATACATAATTTATACATACATAAGTACAAGTACATACATTCTTATGTACGTACACCCACCCCCAGGCATCATCATGTGGGAGATGTTGGCGGGCAAGAGGCCCTGGCAGGGTTTGAAACCGCTGCTGGTGGCTTACCAGGTAGGGGGGGTAGGAGGTAGGGGGGCAGTCCAACACAGGGGCCACATGCGGGATTATGGCGAGGGGTAGGGTAGGGATGTACGTATGTATGTGTGTAGGTTTGTTTGTATTTTTATTTCCTCGTTTAAGGGCGTATTGATTGTTATTGGACAATGTAAAAAGGATGTTCATTATGGTGTCGTACTGTACGGCATTGACTGGTTCTGTCTTTCTGTCTGTTTTTTTTTTCCGTGCACAGGTGGCTTACCGCAGCCTTCGGCCGCCTCTATTTGAGCTCGGAGCCCGCTGTCCCCTCAAGCTGCGGCAGCTGATTGAAGAGTGCTGGTGTCAGGAGCCGAAGTTGAGGCTGAGCAGCCAGCAGGTACGGTGTCGTACGATGTACGAAATTGTTACAGTACGTGGCTAGTAGACGAGTATGATGCTTAGGTCATAATGAATGTGCCGCCCTTTTTGGTGCACATATGTGGATCGTCGTACACTGTTGTATTTTTGTTGCTCCATCTTGCTCACCTCGACGGCCAAGGCGTAAGCGCAAGAGGCATTCTTTTTGCTACTCGGTGCAGCGCTTATCGATTCCCTGCAAAACACAGCTTACTCCTCGGCCTTCCCCCCCACCCTCCTTGTCATCAGCTTCACTCGCTCGTGGTTCGTCTTCCCCTCCCTCCTCCCCCATCACCTCCGTTGCCCCCATCCTCTTCAATACCCCGCCCTCCTGTTTCCTGCTTCCTGTTTCCTCTCCCCCCCCTCTCCCCTCCCAAAACAAACCGGGCAGGCGGTGGACCGACTACTGGAGATTCTGAACGAGCTGCCTGCTGGCCAGGTGCGTGGGTGTGTGGGTGTGTTTTGCATTTACATACAACATACATACATACAGACATACATACAGACATACATGCGCCACTAGGCCGTGGCTTGTTTACAGGTCAAGGTATATATATATCGTGGTGGTGTGTGGTGGTTGTACCTCTCTTTGCTCCCCTTCCCCCTCCGCCCTCCCCCTCCCCCCGAACCTGCACGCCTTCCCCGTCGCTCGGCAGGTGCCGGTGGTTGGACCTTTGTTTGTGTTTGTGTGAGCTCTGTGGTTTCTTCTCCTCTGTGTGTGTTGCAATCGCGAGCCAAACAACACTTCCTTGCCGTCCCATGTCGCATCCTGGTGGTTGAACCCCTTCTTCTCTCCCCTCCCCATCGCCTTATCCGGGCTCGTTACATACTTCTAGTGACATACTTCTAGAGGCGTATATCCTAGTCCATCCTCCTTGGCATCAGCTTCACGCGTTCACGTGGTTCTTCCCTCCCTCCTCTCCACCGCCCGAGGGGAGGCCATGCAGCTCTTGTTGCCAGTCACCTAGCCCCATTCAGCTGTACGCATGCAGCTCCCTTTCCTAGGCGTGTGGGGGTTGGTGCAAATACACACACACGCACACACATATATACATACATACACACATACACACATACACACACATACACACATACACACATACACACATACATACACACATACACACACATACATACACATGCACATACACAACCACACAAATGCGCACACACCCCGCAATTAATGCGCCGCAGGACTTCCCAGACGTCCACCAGGATACACCGGTGGATGCTATGGTGGCAGCGGCAGCGGCACTGGCGCCGCCGCCGCTTTTGCCAATGGTAAGACAACAACAGCAACAACAGGTCATTCCCGTCGTCGCCGCCGCCGCTGGCTCCCCTGTTGCCCCCGCGGCAGCTGCCGGATTGCTATCTGGTCCTCCCCTCGAGTTGTGGTGGGAACAGACGTCGGCGATGCAGCGCGCAGGTTTGTCACCGAATGATATTAGAGTTTTGCGGCCGTGACGGAGGTAATAATGAGGGATGGGCGTCTGGGGCGTCATCATGTGGATGGGTGGGCTGTGGGGGGAGAAGAAGGAAGTAGGATGAATGGCGGGTGGAGAAGGAGGCCATCGGGGGCCCTCTTTGAGCCTTGCCGGCGCAGGGCCGTGACCTTGCTGCGCCCGTGCCACGTTTTGATTTCTAATTGATGTGCTGATGCTGTAGTCCTGTAGCCGCTGTAGTGCTGCCGCTGTAGTGGTGCTGCATACCTGGGGGACTGGCATCAGGTGGGTTTGTCTCTGATGATGATCTGAGAGGTCAGCCGTGTGTGGGTGTGGGTTTGGGTTTGGTGGGGGGATGATGAGGGGAAATAGGGGCGGGGGGGAGGGGAATGGAAAAAACAGCAGCAGCGGCAGCCGCCGGAGGGGGAAGAGCATATGATGTTGGGGGAAGAATGCGGAAGAACGATAGCCCATCAACAGGCACAGATGTGGTGCGCCACGGCGGACCGAAAAAATGCGAGCCTGATCAAGACATGGTGATTTAGGGCTTTGGGTTTCAAGGGATTTCGTTGCTTTTTTATCCTGTGAACCCGGAGAGAGGGGGGGAGGAGGAGGAGGGGAGGAGGAGGTTTTGCTCCTTATGACGGTTGTTGCGGCTGGCAGGCAGAATCAAGAGCGCTAGTGGTGGTGGGGGCAGTGTGAAGCGATAGCATGATGTGCGAGGTTAGGGATTGTGTGCGTGTGTATGTGTCTCTCTCTGTGTTTGTGTGTATGTGTGTGTATGTGTGTGTATGTGTGTGTATGCGTGTGTATGCGTGTGTGTGTGTATGCGTGTGTATGTGTGTGTGTGAGAGGCTGGTGGGGATCTGGTCGGGTGGGGTGTAGTGAGCTGTTGAGAGCCTCCGGACTTGCTATGTGACTGGCGCACTACCACTACCCATTACGACTGCTGTCGGATTGAAGGGGGGGGGGAGAAAAGGGGGGAAGAGTTGCGTTGCGGCTCGTACCGGGATCGTGTGTGTGTGGGCTGACGGGCAGGCCGGCATCCGAAGGAGAAGAGAAAATGCTGCGAATTTGCTTTTTTCCTAATCTTTGCCTGCACGCGGCTAACGTCCACAGAAATTGGAAACCTCAAATATTTAAATTCAACATGCATTCATGTCGGGGCGATAGCGACGGGTGAGCAGGCGTTCTGTCCACCGACGTTGACTGGGATTGATTTTGAAACCTTTCCTCGGGTATACACTACACCGCGACTTAGCATTTTTGCTGAGCCGATACCTCTGTCTGCGGTATCTGTCAAACCACATGTCCTCACTATGAATTTAATATATACTACTTTTGAGGAATGTATAGTAATTTCCCGATCAGTTATATGACGTTGTATTATGTATAGAAGTTTGTCACCAATTTGCTGACATGGCATTCTGCACGCGTGGCCTTTTTGGTGAAAGTCTTTTTTACACAGCTATTCCTAACGCGTTGAGTTTTTTTTCGTGGGGAAAACAAGAAGGGGGGGCCCTACACGGTCGCAGGGCCCAAGAGGCCACTTGGGGGGGGGGATCAGGCGGTACGGTTGCAACGTTGCTTGCATGTCGCGTGTCCATTTTACATACATCATATATGCAGCAGAACACGATGGTGGGTGCAAGTGCGTCTAGTTTTTTGTTGGTTGGATTTGTGGGATCTTGGTTCCAAAAGTCGGTGTGGTTTCAAACCGTGGGGGAGGTTGGAGGATTGGACCCCAAAGAAATGCTTTTTGCCGTGTTTGCTTTTCCAACGTATTGGCTGTTTCGCTTGAAACGCCTGTGCGGTAGGTGGTGGTAGGTACTTAATAACGCACATGAGGCAGGGGGGGCATGCTCTAACGGCAACGGGCTACATGATGGGGGGTGCAATATCATCAACCTCGTCAAGTGTGGGACAGGGGAAAGCATCGAGCTCGTTGACTCGTCGTCGCCATCGTCTTCGTCTTACTTGACATGGATTGTGAAAAAGGTATATAGTTTCTGGTTTTTTGTTGGAGATCAGGGATTTTTTTTATTTTAAAACGTTTTTGGGCTTGAAGGGGGTCGGAGTCCGCTTCCTTTTATTGCGTGATGCCTATGTCGGTGCCTATCCGATTGCATCCACATGTCCTGGTGTATCTGCTCCTCGCGCATTTTCGAGGGGCACAACCCCCCCCCGGGGGGTTATCTGTCCATCAAGAAGCCACGAGGCTCTATGGGAACCTGCTGTGCTGCAGCAGCAATAGAAGTTGAGGAACACGGAGAAAAGAAGATTTCTGTGAGCTGTTCCTCGAGTACGTACATACGTATGTATGTATGTATGCTCCGTAAGCACCTGAAGACGGGGTGTCCCTAATTCCCTGATTCGGTTCATGTGGACGTGAGGATTGTTTTTCCGGGTTGTTGGGTTGGGTGACGGCGTTACCTCGTTTGTACGACATCATAAGAGGGGAAATCCGGGGCGGGCGGACGGACGGATCTGTCTATCAATCTGTCCTGACGGAAGGTTGATGGAGTGACATGCGAAATGTCTTGAGATCCAACCCCCCCCCGCCAGGTGTCTGTGTGCCGCTGCATGGTAAGTTTGCTCCGGAGACATCCCGATGTCCGTTGTCTGGGGGCGATATGAGGCGGTATGAGGCGATATGAGGCGGCCTTGAAGTTTTGGTTGATGGTATATATATATGTATATATGTATATATATACATATATATACATGCATGTATGACTGTGTAGGAGCGCTCGCGTAGGTCGTCATATGCATGTGTTACGCTAACTCGGAGATGCGAGAGCGGTGGCAAGGTGGCAAGGTGTGGCAAGGCTTCGGTTCGAAGAGGATCTTGTGCCGTGCTGAAAAATGGTGACAACGGTCAACTCTACCTGCATGCGCAAAAATCAGTTATCGCCTTGGAGCAGTTTTGCAGTCAGCATGTATGTGTATCGTGATGTAAGCCGTTCCCCTCGAGAAGGGAGATGCATCTGGAGTGGGCGGGAGGCGGGGAACGCAATAGGTCCCGTTTCCCCTCCTCCACGACCTTCTGGGCCCCGCGGCCCGCAATCAAATTAAATGAATGAACAAGTTAGTAAATGAACAAATTAGTAAATCAAATGAAAGGCGAGTTCCTTCCTTGTGAAAGGCTTCTTCCATGTACAACACAACGCATGCGTACAATGTCTATTACAGCACACGAATTCGAAGCGGCGACTCCTTGGTGTCATCCTGGAGTCGGCGGTATCCTTTCCTCGAGGAAGGGGGAGCTCCCCCTTTTCCTCCCCCCTACTACTACAAGGGGCAGCAAGGGTCCTCCGGACTACAGACACCTCACATTGAGCTATACCTGCCCATGACCCACATCGTTGTGACGCTCACGTGCGTGTACGGCGGCGGCGTGCGTGTACGGCGGCGGCGTGCGTGTATGGCGGCGGCGTGCGTGTATGGCGGCCTTAATTCTACATATTATTATGGTGATGATCCGCAAGCGCGAACGTTAACACTCAACATACTTATCTACGATCTGCACAAATGCATATGGGTATATGTGTATCTATATACCTTACCTGCACGACTCATGACGCTTCACACATACATACATACTTACATCATACATGAGGTACTTTACCGCATCGAATTGGTATCTTGGCGTGCAGCTGCCCCACGCTTGCAAATACGACGAATACACTCGCTGTAACCGTAGTACGACGGGGCTCCCAATCTATCCAACTCATGCGCTGCTCATGCGCTTTTTATAACCATCTGGATGCAGCATGACAAGGACAACCATATCCTCCACACACACACATACACATACACGCACACATATATATACACTTTACTACTAACAACGATCAGCATTGAGAGCTCAACGCAATAGAGTTTGTAAGTGTGGACACACACACTGAATGGGAAAGGTTCTGGCCCTGCTGGCAACGAGCCCCGCATTGTCACTGAACTGAGAGCATGCAAAACCACACGCAAGCAAAAATAACATCTCGGCGGATACAAGCACGGCAGGTGTACAGCGTGTACCATCCCGATGTGAAAAAAAATCAAATCTCTCCAGGTTACTTCAGTGTTGCCGCCGCAATTCCGGTTCTACTGCGAAGTGCTGGCAGCTGGCTGGGCCGAGAAGGCGAGGTTTGCAAGATACGCATCCGGAAATTGCGAATCGGTCTATTTGAGGGTGGGCGATTGCCACCATGGCAATTTGGACTTGCAGTACAGCAGTTGTGGATTCAGTTGGGGGCCGTACTTCGCTCTGTTGCTGCCCTCAAGCACCGACCGCTCTGCGCGGATCAGCGAATGTACGTACGACATGTAGAATTTGTACGCTGTTCCGGTGCGACCATCCTTGAGACTGAGTTCCTGCTGGGAGGCAGAGAAATGTACGGTAAAATGTACGTTGCATCTGAAGGGTGCTGCTGTGCTGGTGGGGTTGATGTGGCTTGGGGCAGAGAAGGGGGTGAGTTGAAGGTGGTGCGTGGGAGGGGGGCCGGAGGATTGCTGAAGGATTATGCGCGGCGGACTTGGGGGTCGCTGCGGTGAAATGTGAGGTATCGCTTGAGAGATTCTTTGTACGTGAGTACAGGTCACAGAAAGTGCCGGACGGCGACTACCGCAAGGACTGATTACCAAAAGGATCCTATGGGAAGAGTTAGCAACCAAAGGTGCAATCGTTTTAGTTTTAGCTTACCTCTAGAAGTACGTTGACCTGGTCATTTGATTTTCCCTCTTCTTGCTGTTCCTTACTGTTTCGCGTTTGTTGATGTTGGGCATGGATTCTTGCTATCGCGACTTTTGGATGTGGCCGGTGGATAATCCAGACGTCTGGCAAAATTACGAAGCGGAAGTCCTTGAACAGCGCCAGCGACTCGACGTGCTGAATTTTATCAAAGGCCCATCCACGAAAGCGCTGCTTGCAAAAGATTGACAGCAAACGGCGTAAGCGGCGTAAGGTGTTATGCTCAGTGTCCCAGCGATGAAGCACGTAAATGAAGCGCGCAAGCAGCCGCAACGCGCCAGAGTGCGAGGACAGCGCTGTTTGTGCTTTTTTGTGCTGTTCCAGGCACATTACCTACCTTCTTTCCTTGTCGTTCTATTGAACAAGCAGCTATTTCCTGCTATGAAAACTAGTTCGAACCTAGCAGGAATTGTTCGTCAGTCAGTCCATACGCGCTAATGGTGTCGGTTGCTGATCTATTTCCACGGATATCGAGTGACTGGATGATGGATGAGGAGGTGTCCAGACGGCAGGACGAAAACCGCCTCTGACTTTCAGTTTGTGTTCGTACGGCGGAATTAACTTTCGATAGTCCATAGCCCTGAATCCATGGCCCCTGACAAACACGAACACCCCCGCATTCCTGTGGATGGATGGAACGTGTAATTGCAACTTAGGTGTGGATGATACGTGTAATTGCAACCCTAAGTTGTGTCCTCTGGGTTGGCCTTAGCAGCAACACATAGCACAAGATTGACCTCACCTCATCGTAGCCAGGGTCCTTGAACCTGCACGGTCACATCGGCGAGGCATACGCACAAATACACACACATACACAGACATACACAGACATACACACATATACACATATACACACATACACACATACACACACAGGAATGGAGTTGAGCCGCCGTTGATCGGGCAGATTCCGTTGGATGCCGGTGGTGGGTCCTGAACCTGAGCGACCCATTGAGAAATCGGCTAGGGTGACTGGATGAGGATGCCCCGAAATACATGCATACATGCATACATACATTAAACGCACACATGAGTGGGTAGAGAGTTTGGGCGGCATACAGAACCCCCTGGTCGACCACATACACGACATTGGATGGTGGCGTTGTTCGGACGGCAAAAGGCCTCCGGGCATTTGTGGCAGACTCCTCCACCACCACAAGGAACTCCAAAAGAAGCGCATTTACTTATAGATGCAGTCCTAAAAACAGATTACGCGCTTCTAAACCCCTTCATTTATTGCAGGTGAAACCTTCCTACGAAAGAAGGCCGCAACCCCCTGTCCAGCCAGCAGCCGCCGGCTGTGTGTGTGTGTGTGCTTGTGTGTGTGTGTTACGGTGGCTGGGTCAGTGTGTAAAGACGCCCTGTCTGCTCTGCACACGTGCGAATGCCGCCGCTGGGTTGTTACACCATGCACCCGCCCGCTTCGCACCCTACCTTGGCAGGATGCCCCAAGGCTCAAAGTTACGTGCGAAATGCACCTCGTAAGACTCGTTAGATCTCGCCCACACCATATGGTTGATCTGCTTGTGGCATTGCCGGCAACCATCGACGTGGAACACCTTAACCGTTGAGTTGGACCAGAGCGCTATCAGGTCGGCCTTAGAACCTGCCAGTGCGCATATACACACACATAAGAGTTGAGCACACATAGATAAACACATACAATTAAGCAACCTCAAAAGCGAATCCGTACCCCGTACGACAGCGAAAGTGAGGGGCATGGAGCGTAGCGCAGGGAGGGTGAATATGACATCATATGCCGCATGGCGTCGTCGTCATCAGTGCGCCTGTCTGTCTGTCTGTCTGTCTGTCTGTCTGTCTGTCTGTCTGTCTGTCTGTCTGTCTGTCTGTCTGTCTGTCTGTCTGTCTGTCTGTCTGTCTGTCTGTCTGTCTGTCTGTCTGTCTGTCTGTCTGTCTGTCTGTCTGTCTGTCTGTCTGTCTGTCTGTCTGTCGTGGCACCCCAAGCGAAGCCATATAATCAGAGAGGAACTGCACGGTTACCGTCAAAATAGAAAAAGAGAGCCGTGCTCGGCCGCCGGTAACCCGTATACAAGTGTACGAATGATGTTGTGCCGTTGTTGTGCCGGATCCAACCGTACATACGGCGTAAAGCTCATAGCCACTTCTACGCGACGCCCATTTCTACGCGGCCACAGTAGACAGGGCACGGCGCCAGCCGCTGGCGGGTCGGCCCGGGCCCACATGGCCGGTCTCTTTACTACCGTTACCCCCCCCCCGGCTTTTACGGACACCCCCCGCACATGCGCGCGGAACTTGTAACATATACTTGTAACTAGCCGTTGATGGCCGTAACCTTAAGCCTTTGGCTTGACCAGTCTCTGGGCCATTGCCCTACCTGAGAGCGCGGCATCGCTGACTCCGTTGGCCGTCTCCATCTCCATGAGCGGGTTAGGCTCAAACGCGGGTACGACATACAAGGCCGGCCTCTCAGCTGCCTCCTGGAAGAGGTTCCGGAGCCTGTGTTACAGCAGCAGACGGTAAGATGGCACCACTAGGTGAGCAGTGGGTGGTCTGTTTCCTGCACCCCGCCCCGCCCCGCC